AGTAACAGTAACAGTAACAGTAACAGGAACAGAAATAGTAACAGTAGTTATCGTCGTAGTAGTTGTTGTTGTTGGTGGTGTTGTTGTTTTGATTGTTGTGCTGTTGGTAGTCGTATAGTAGTAGTGGTAGTAGTCGTGGTAGAAGTAGTCGTGCAGTAGTAGTACTAGTCTAGTAGTAGTAGCAGTAGTAGTAGTAGTAGTAGTAGTAGTAGTAGCAGCGTAGTAGCAGCAGCAGCAGCAGGAGTAGTAGTAGTAGTCGTCGTCGTCGTCGTCGCTGGAGCGGTTAGACGGCGGCCTCCTGGCCCACAGAAGGCATCTTCGGAAGCGTAGGCTCCTGCTCTGCTTGAAATCAAGCGGGTGCAACACAGGATTCGCATTGCTCCAGAAATAGATGGGCAACTAAAAATAATCTAGAATTCCTGCAACCCTGCTCCAAAGTTTGTAGACCCATGATGCTCTTGCAATGAACTCATCAAGTTAAGGGCTTCTTCCTTAAGACAAGTTCTCCGTGCATCGAAAGACGTAGCTCCCAAGTTGTTCGAACATTAGGTTCCAAGACTTCGCTGATTCTTTCGGTCTAGAGGTCGAGGTTGCTCTGATCCCTGCTTCGGGTTCCACCAGATCTACATGCACGGAACCTCGACTATGACATCCTCTATTTGTGTTGCTTCCTGGTACCTCGGCGCATGAAAGTTAGGTCGTTAGGTCGCAGGCTGGTAATCATCCTGTACGGCACCCTAAAACCTTGAACCACATACCCCATACTGAAGAGAAGCGGTTTGAAACATCCGTAAGCCAAAATGCGAGCCACCCAATGCACCAAATACCGAACTGCCAGGGCGGGTTTCTGCGAAGGTGGGTGGACTTGCCTGGATGTGCTAGAATAAATTCTGAAGCCCAAACTGACGGCAGAAAACAGGAACCCTAAACTTCGAATCCCACACCCTAAGCAAACAGCCTCCCGGACCCGATCCAAGCCGTGTCCTTGGACATCCGCAGCGTCTCCAAGGACGCATGTTTTGAGATGCCTCTCTCTGGTGTAGGGTGTGTCAATGTTTCTTCGCAATTAGGATCTCCCTCTGTCTCTGTGACTAGTAGTAGTAGTAGTAGTAGTAGCAGCAGTAGTAGTAGTAGTCGTCGTCGTCGTCGTAGTAGTCGTAGTCGTAGTAGTCGTAGTAGTCGTAGCAGTCGTAGCAGTCGTAGCAGTCGTAGTCGTAGTCGTAGTCGTAGTCGTAGTCGTAGTAGTAGTAGTAGTAGTAGTAGTAGTAGTAGTTAAAAGCAGCAGCAAAAGTAGCAGCATTAGCAGCAGCATGAGTAAGTATTCTACACTCCTCGGCAGAGACATTGTAGCAGCATCATGAGCTTGATAACGAGTGCAGCACTTCTGGCGCGGGACTCAAGTGTCGGGCGTTGGGGTTGAGGGGTCAGGGTTGAAACCATGTAGATTGCAGGTTTAGGGCCACCAAAACCTGATTTCTCCTACGTAAACCTTTCGCTGCGGCGCCCATAAATCAAATCATAGATCAAACCCCGCGCCTAACTGCTGAAAGCACCACGCATCCAGCTCTTTCTCCAAGGTGTGCTTCCAGACCTGCATAGGAAGGTTCCGAATTTCGGAGAGTCTTAATTAGAGACAGTTTCAAAATGCAAACCGTGACCCTAAACCTGTATATACTCTGTATACCCTGAAATGCCCTAAACCGTATATAGGAGTAGACGGAACACCTGAACACGAAGCTCGAACACATGAGGCTTCTCAAAGCCGCCGGCGATGTAGAGCTTCATCCTCATTTACAGGTCCCAGATCATTCACCCTGAATCTTCGAACCTCTGCATATTCAATCCGAGTCTTGCCTGCCGAACCCGCGACTCCAGGAGTTATAAACCAAACCCAAACTCCTAAACTTAATCTATAAGATGTGTGTATGTGTGTATGTATGTATGTATGTATGTATGTATGTATGTATGTATGTATGTATGTATGTATGATAGTTGTACTTGTATTTCTATATACACATACATTTGGCGGTACATATATAAATATACAGAAATATTCTCACCAACGTCTTGCCCTTACACCAACAACTTCCAGAGCACTGAACCCGCTGTCCTACATGTTCAACTTTGTATCCACAACACTTCTGTCACAAATGCTATTCGAAAGTAACAATCATCCCGCAATCTCATAACCAAAATACACAATGTGCACAAACTAGGGTGTAAACCAGCATTGTGATGAATGTGTGTTTGGGACAGCTTCTGCTGGGCAACTAGATAGAAAGACCCGTAATCCACCCCTTACTTCACAAAACGGCATCCTAATCCCTGAGTACCTTGTGCGCTTCCACCATCTCCGTTCTCTTTCTCAGAACAGTGACACATGTTTTACCTTTAACCATCCAAGGGCTCAAATAGCATACACGCTTTCCTCACAGAACCTCGTCAATGGGACTCTTTGTATGTATATAAACATATGTATATATATATATATATAAACATTTATACATGTACAGATATCATATACACACAACGCAGCTCTTCTTCTTCCGCGAATGGGCTGTGAGGCTTTCAGGAGGATGGTAGCCAAGGCTTGAGTTTAGGGCTTCTGGGGCTTAGGGTTTGGGATTTGGGGCTAAGATGTTTAAAAAAAAAACGGGACCACAAACCCTGAACCAGAAACCAAAACCCTCCCTAAACCCCAAACCTGAAACCCGAAACCCTAGAACCTGAACCATAAACCCTAAGGGCCTAAGGGCCCTAAAACTTTGGATGTTGGGTGCCTGGTCAGCATGCAACGCATTCGCCGCAGCCATGGCTGTGTAAAAGTCCAGAAACCCCCAGCCGCTGGGAGAATCGGGGGATTGTCAGTCCCTAACCCCCCAGGTACCTACTATATAGGGCCTTAGGGGCTCTAGTACCCTATATAGTAGGTACCTGGGGGGTTAGGGAGTTTTGCGACGAGTATCCTCTGCATTCGATGATGCTTCTTTGCAGTTGGGTTTAGGGTTTAGAGCTTAGGAAGTCAGCGGCTGGTTTGAGCAGTACTTGGGTAGGGGACTACTTCTCCCGACGACTCTAAGACAATTCGCTTTCCGGCACGACATATCCTGCTTGAAATTGCCGAAAACGCTCAGTGCGAGGTGTGACGAGTTTTGCAAACTTGAACACCGTGGCAATCCTGGAGGTTACCTGGTGTCTCCGACATGGCAAGGGTGCCCTTATTCCTAGTATTCAGGTCTATAAGGCGAGGCAGACAGGAACCATCAGGCAGTACCGGAGAACCCCTCATTACCTTGAATCCTAAACACACACCAAACTTGTTCGAAACTCTACCGCAAGGCTCGGTGAGGTAGTCTAAACTGCTGCCCTTGCAGCGAGCGGTATTATCTCCGGCCACGACTTATCGACTTCATGGCTCACACCAGGGTTCGGGGGCTTGGGGGTTTTGGTTTAGACTGTTATACGGTTTCGGTTTAGTTCTTGAGGGATTTTTGGGATGACATGGGGTGTACACTTCCAGAGGAGACATAAAAGTTTTACAAAGTACATCTTTGATGTTTCACTACTGATGCTGACTACTTCGCGTGGCCGTGGCCGGTCAGGGGAATTCGTCGCCAACACCTGGAAAATCTGTCGCAGTTTGGTCCTTCCGTTTGTGTATCTGTTCATCTAGATTTTGCACGATCATAAAAGCAGGTGGCCAGCATATCTTGTGCGAAGCGACTCACAGCCCGCCTTTGCTGGGCCGGGCAGATGTGTTTTGATCATGTGTCTAGGGTCTTGGGATGGGGGATTGATTACGGGTTAGGGGTCAGGCTTTAGGATTTATAGTATACGACTGCTGACGATGCATGCTTGCGGTCGAGAACATAAACATAGGGCTCCTAGGTTTTAATTTTAGGGTTCCGGCAACCCGACAAATAGCTCCAGTATTCCAAAAAGCTAATGTAATGGCATGGATGGCACCCATCATTTCAGTAAGGCTTGGGGTACATCTTTCAACAAAATCCTGAGGCCCCTATACTAGAGAGTCCTTGTGATTACACGCGCTCAAGTCCAAGGCACTCCGACGCGAACCCACTTTTTTAGCGCGAGCCTTCCGCCTGCGGCAGCATTGCCGGCACCTGCGAGCAGGCACCATCTGGGTAGTTCTTAAAAAAGGACCCTAAACGGGCCAGGGGGCGTTGTTATTGGGGTTTGAAGCACTTGAGGTTCCAGGGTCTCGGGTTTCAGTTTCTTCGGCTCCAGGATTCAGAGTTCTATAAGGTCAAGGGGTTTATGGCCGAAAGTCTTCAAACTTGGGTTCTTGCTGATGTCCGGGCGCCAGCATAAGCCCAACAACTATCATGTATGCGTTTCACAAGCGGGCTGGTGCAGTCAAGATTTCGGGATAAGTGTTCTGTTTTTGCACTGCTAGGGACGGAACTTTAGGGTTGGGGGGGACGTCCGGTGCCGCACGGTGCGTTGCCGCGAGCATCCATGTCCGAACCGTGATAACGTCTTGTTCCCACAAAATGTTCTCAGAAGCTCATCCCTGCTTCAGCCATCTTGAGTTTGTCTGAATTGCTCACGCACGCGGCTCTGCCACTGCTAAGCTGCGAATGCCGCTGCCACTCCCACTAGCACTAGTACCACTGCTAACGCCAACTCAAGCCTTTACGTCATTATCCCCCCCGGTTGCCTGAAACAAACGGAAGCAAGAAGTAGGTGCAGCTATCGTGTTGAAACGTGGACATATGGGTTGCGGACAAGCATTCGCCTTCTACTAACCCTTATAGTAGTCTTGATCATAACCATTAGTAGAAATCTGAAACTCTTCACCTTGATCCCAGAGGCTTGCTCGAAAGCCCGATACGCCGAAAGCCTACATCAACGCCCACAAGCCCTTCAAAACCTACATACCGTAATAAACCCCAAACCCTAAATCCCTAAATCCCTAAATCGCCAAGCCCGAAACCTATATATACCCAAAGCTGCATGTAAACCCAGAGCCCCACCAGAGGCTGAAGATTCGAACGAGCCCATCGACTGAGGCCAAAACCCGAAGTAAACCCCTCCACATGACCTGGTACCTTATAGCACGTTAAAATGTTCTAAATAAACCTGTGGTATATGATACATTACATATATTGTAGTACAACTGTGGTATATTATGCTAAAGTATTTTCTGGTATGCTATAGTATACTCTGGTATAACAAAATACAGTCTGTTATACTATATAAGACTCTTAGTCTTAGTTGCTCAGTAGGCTGGTTAAGACAAGCTAATCTTTCCATTCTGATACAGTCATAGCGGTGAATGCATTTGTATAGATGGACAAGCGTATGTATAACTAAACAAGTTCGTAGGTGTGGCTAGAGCATTTTAAACAGTCCCTTGCGTCCTTGGTGTTTACATGCCTATATATGTACTAACTATATGTATGCATGCATGTATGTATGTATGTATGTATGTATGAATGTATGTATGTATGTATGTATGTATGTATGTATGTATGTATGTGCGTATGTATGTGCGTATGTATGTAAGTAACATATGTATGTATACACAGGCACACCTCTCTTCCCCGTAGATAAAAAGACATGATGTGTACATATATATATATATATATATACATCCACATACATATCCATGCATATACACATACATATACGCACATATATATATATATGTATATATACATACATATACATAGGCATATACATATACATACACACATATACAAAAACAAATACATATACATATACGTATACATATACATATACATATACATATAGATACATGTATATGTACATATACAGGTATATACATATGGACATGAGTACCCATATCCATCTCCATATCTATATCCACATATGTATACACACACACTACCAATACACACACTCTCTGACACCTGGCTTAGCCCCCTCCCCGCTCTGTAAGACAGGCTTTCGGGATGCACTTTTGCGCTTCCTGTAGCCGAAAAGACCTACTTTGTTATGGGTTCTGACTATCGTTTCTGTATGTGTGTATATATATATATAGTTCCTCAAACAGGTAGGTCTTTTGGGCCACTGGTTGTGTTTTCGAGCTCCGATCCAAGAAGCTCTGTAAACCTTAGGAGTTATAGCGATTTAGGGTTTAGGGTTTAGGGCTTAGGGAAATAGATGGCTACAGAAGTAGATACAAAGATAGATAGCCAGACAGCTAAGTAGACGGATAGATAAGTGGATAGAAGGGTAGATATGTGGATAGATAGGCAAACAACTGGATAGATAGATAGATGGAAGGATGGATGGATGGATGGATGGATGGATGGATTAGACAGCTAGATACATAGAGAGAAAGAGAGATAGATAGACAGATAGATAGGTAGATAGAACATAAACAGAGAGCTTGATAGCCAGAAAACTAGATAGGTAGGTAGTGAGATGGACATTCCCGAACAAACCATATGAAGGACTCAGCTACTAAGCAGGACCCTGTCCGAGGGCTCCCACCCCATTGAGTCCAGCAAACGGCTGAGACGTAACCAACTCCTGTAGACCTGGGTACAAGGTTCATGGGACGGGCCGTAGGGGCTTAAAGTTTAGTGGTTTGGGGCTTCGGGGTTAAGAGGATGAGGGCTTAGGGCATTAGCTGTTCAGGTTATCGGTTATAGCATGGAACACCACCCTTAGGTAAGTTTGCTTACAGCTTATAAGGACCTCAAGAAACATCCCTATAACCCTCAAACCTGAGAAGGCAATAGTTTTGGCTGGCTTGGGTCTGCTCAAGTGCCGCGATGCACACCCTCGATCTCCGCAACTTGACCCTTCCGCAGATACTTGCACCTAGGTCTAAACAACCAAACTCCCAAACTATGCCATAAAGTACTATATAATATGCTACAATAAACCTGAATCGTGCCATGCCTGTACTTGGAGCCGTAAGGACCACTTGAGCTCCAACTGCGGAACCCCGGGGTCCGAAACCTTCCGAACCACCAGACCCAAATGCGAACCCCCGACAATCCGAACCTCTGAACAGCTAACTCTTTGCTGGACCCGGTGGGCCCTGCGTGTGTAACACAAATCTGTCCCACACAGCCCTTCCTCCCCCAAACCTCACGCCATGAATTTAAAATCACAAACCGAAAATCAGAAACGGTCAAGCCGTACATAGGACTTTGTGGTCCCACGAAAGAGGCCCGCGCCAGTGATCGAGATAGCGAGCATGGGATGTCCTCCGACTCATATCTGTCGTCTTTGCGTGTGGGGACACCGGGCTTTGCAGAAACGGATGCTGGGCCAGTGGGTTCGGGTTTAGGGTTTAGGGTTTGGGGTTTGGGGCTTTAAGGAAAGCTTTGCTTGGTGTGATCTCTTCGGTTCTGGGTGTCCTACTTGATGGGCTAGCTGAACTGAACTTAGGCAACCCAGCGATCTGTATAACAGCAATGCCGAAACCACAAGAGGCTTCCTTGCGGCATCAGAACGCAACACCGGCGGAGTTCAATCAGATCTCTGTCCCAAGGACTTTGGCTACGATCTCAGACTCATACAAGCTTAGTTTCTAGGTGCCTCTCTTTGGGCATGGATGCTCCCGTTAGGTTATGTGTCCCTTTGAAGGCTCCCGTTGACGACCCTAAACACTGAACACCTAGATTCGATCACATGGGGCTGCAACAACCCGCGCTTCTTGTCGACGCCTCTTGGTAGGGTCTATCAGTGAAAAAGGCCCACGAAAGAAAGAATATATGATCCCGGTTCGGCCGGCCCCCCCCCCTCCCCCCCCCAATGGTTCCTCCTCCGCCTCCCTGTGGTGTGGTGTGGTTG